ATTTGAATTAATAAATAAAGATATCTTATAATTAACTATATAAAAAACGAAAATATAAATATATAAAAAAAACTACCCATTCAAATTGGGTGGGAGTAGTTTTGAAGTTGGAGTTTTTAAATTATTTTAAATTAAAAAAGCAAAAAAAATTCAATAGTAATAAATTATATATCTTCTCATATATTACAAAAAGAAAGCGAATACTAAATATTGTTTAATATAATAAAGAAAAATAGAACAAAAAAGTTATTCACTGACTATATAAGTACGTTTGATTTAATAGAGATTTCATTATTTGGTATATCGTATTGACAAACTAGATGACAATTGAATTTTATTAAAGCAATACGATCTAATAGGATCAAACAAGCCTGATCATAATTTAATTTAATTAATATTTTTTTAATATTGACCGCACATCGCGCGGGTACGACTACTAGCTATGGTGAAAAACCTAAAAGACCAAAAACTTCTAGGAAGCAATGCGGACATACCTAAGAATAAAACAAATGGAAGCAAATTCATATATGCGATTCAAACCAGTTGGTATATAGGATTAATTGCTACAACTAAATCCTTTTTATTTTGATTAGAGACTTTCATGCACGTGTATAGATAAGTGTGAGATTTAAACCTTTAATTTTTCAAGACAAGTGATTTTGTAAGGGCGAAAATCACTTTTAACCGCGATCAAAACTATTTATATCTGATAGTCGTAAAAGTGCATAAAATTTATATATATTTTTGTATATAACACACACACACACACACACATATATATATATACACAGACGCGGACCTACGTTGTATGTAGAGGGGTCACGGGACCCCATTAGCCTCGGCAAAAACCTTGTATATATATGTTATATATATATATGCGCTTATATATACGACCCTTTAAATATTTTAGTTGTGCCACTAGACACAATAAGACGGACAGAAGAAGTGGTTGTGTTGGGCGCTCAAATTCCCTTGCTTACTGGATGTTTCGTGTTCGAATCAGTTCTTCGACGTTTTTTAGTTCATTGAATATAACGTACTTGCTTTATACTTAAATAACAAATGGTTTTATTTTTTTGAATTCAATTTTAGTTTAGTTCTAACTTCTAATACATAGTAATAGTCAACTTAATTAATTTTTTTCCTTTCAAATTCATCCCATAAAATTAAAAGTTTCAAATTGCAACTTATCACTCCACAAATAGAAAAATACAAATCTTTATGCCACTGCCTTCTTCATCATTTACATTGACTCCGACTCGTCAATGGAAACTAAAAGTTTTAGACTCTTCTTTATTTTTTTTACTATTAACATACCCTTAATCTTGATTTCTTTAATGTTTGAACGCCTTTTTTGATCCCTGGCCCATTTTTTTTAATTAAAAAGACTAGAAATTTTAAAATGCGAAACATGCTTTATCAAACATTTTCCCTTCCCATATCACCCAATTTGCGAAGAAATCTCTTTTTGTTCGGTGTTTTCTTTTCATTAGAACTTCTTTTTGTTTATACGTGGATGATAAATCATTATAATCATTAAATTTTCAAAGAGTTGCACGCCGAATTTTATCGCTAGTGATTAGCACACAGTGGTGCCCCCGTCGTGCTCAAATCCTGGGTCCGCCTATATATATATTTCAATTATTATTTAAAAACGGCTATACAATGTAATTTTTAACATTTTGTATTAGACAATGTGAACATGACTAGAATGGAATGGATATAACCAACTCTAACTAACTTGAGATTTAGATCCAGTGGATCAATTGAATACTCATTTTTAATTTTGCTAAGGCCAACCAAAGAGAAACAAATGACAGATGAAACACAGACAAAAAATAAGCAGCTGAAAAAATTGAATCATACAAAACTGAAAACTCAAAAACAGTCAAAAAAAGGTTCTTCTCCCCTTGAGATAATTTACATTTTCCAAAGAAAGTTTTCCTACAACATTGAAAGAAAGTTTTAACTTTTTCTTCAACAGTAACAAGAAATTGAATTGCATCAATGGGAGAAGAAATGTTGACTTGTCTTAGGCCTCACAATAGGAAAATGTCCTCCCCATACTATAGCTTAAGATGAACAACATCCACCTTTCTTTGTTTCTGCATCTGTTTCGTGGTTTCCATCAGCTTGCAAAACCACAGTCTTACCATTTGCTAGTCGACCCGAATCCTTTTTCTGGAGCTCTTGAGATTGAATAACCTTCCTGCTCAGAATATTATAGATCTCCCTAACAACCGTCTGAAAAGCAGAGGCTACATTTGACGAATCCAAAGCTGAAGTTTCTATGAAAAATAGTCCCTTTGCCTCAGCCAACGCTTTGCCTTCAGCTGTTGTAACCTCCCGTGCATCTTTGAGATCAGATTTGTTGCCAACGAGTATTGTAACCACATTCATGTCGGAATGAGCTATCCAACACATTATAAAGATATGCTAGTCAATTAAAGGAACGGCATACTTTGCTGGAAAAAAAGGGCAGCCCGGTGCACTAAGCTCCCGTGGGTCAGTGGAAGGGCCGGACCACAAGGGTCTATTGTAGGCAGCCTTACCCTGCATTTCTGCAAGAGGCTGTTTCCACAGCTCGAACCCGTAACCAAGACATGGCAGCAACTTTACCAGTTACGCCAAGGCCCCCATTCAGCATACTTTGCTGAGAAAATGGACCGAAAATAAACAATGCTATTTGAAGATGTTGAAAAACGAATCTGTTGAAAGATGAATTAATAGCATATTGCTTACTCTGAAGTTCATTAAGCCATCGACCAATGCTATCAAAAGTCGGGCGCCTACTGATATCGTAAACCAGAAGCGCTCCAACTGCACCCCTATAATATGCAGAAGTAACTGCTCGAAATCGTTCTTGACCAGCTGTATCCCATATCTGCGCTTTAACCTCCTTTCCGTTGATGTCCATCTTTTGGGTCTGAAATTCTACTCCAATTGTCGATTTTGAGTTTGGATAGAATTCATCTCTAGCAAATCTGGCAAGCAAATTGGATTTTCCGACTGCAGAATCACCAATCAAAACAATCTTGAAAAGGTAATCCTCTTTTTTCTCTTCCTCAGAATGTAGCGCCATCTTCTACACCGCATAAAATGGCAGCAGCTAGAATACCATAACTACTTATCTATGTAGCTAAGATGCAACAGCCCTTTTCAGAATCTAAATGCCGAAATAAAGAAAAGTGAAGAATGAGCAGGTGTTGCCCCTCGGGAAGAAATCTCAAAATCAGGATCGGCTAAAAAGGAAATACCAAAAGAAAAGAAGAAAGTGGTAAAAGTTCTGTCTGAAGTTGAGGAGTGGCACTACAATATACAATGCGCTATGCACCATGAACTACAACTTCCCTCGTCCAGTCACTGCACAATTAAGTTACTTCCTCCCGTTCTAGTTCAGTCCTAGAAGGAAGTGACAGCTTTTGAATATCTGCACGAAAATACTTAAAGTTTCAGCAACGAATCGAGTACGATTAAAAGAAACAAGTTTCCATGCTTCTATAGGATATAATCTAAACATATAGGGATAAAGAATGAGATGGTGTGAACTCAATCAGATCTAATGTCCCCCCACCACCTACTAAGCTCCCACTCCCTTGCTCCTTGCTGCCGAAAAGTTAAGCTCAAACCTGAAAGCAATATGATGGAAATCAAGCACAGAAAAGAATTAGAAATTACTGGTACTTAGGGTCTGAAAATGCCAAAAGAAACAGATGCAATTCACAAAAGATCAGAAAGGGCAATAGATTCCGCAAACTTCCTTGTGTAAACAATTTAGAAGTCATATATTAAACAATTCAAGATTATTTTGTTTCAAATGGACATGTTTAGCAAAAATCCGGAAAAAGGATATTCATCAAAAACCATATGGAGGTACAAAAAGATGGTGTTATAACTTTTGAAGAAGGAAACTAATGTTCAGCATTTTAAATTACAGATAGTGTCGTTCCAACTTGCATGCACCTCGATGATAATACTACCTCCTAAAGCATATGTACCGACTAACTCTAACTGCCTAGGCTTAAGCAACTGGGAAGAATTCACCTAGTATTGTTGGAGTCAACCCCTAGTTCCCAAAGTTGTCACTTTAACTCTTTAACCACTGAGCAGCGCCTCCGGAGGGGTGGGGGTGGGGGAGGGGGGACTACTTCGGTATTAATATTACATGGAGGCAAAAGGAACAAGGTCTCTCATATTACAATTGCCTTAGTTTACAAGAGCATGCATCTCTCCATGAAATGATTCAATCAATGAACTACGCCTCAATCCCAAAATCAATTGGGTTAGCTACATAAATCCTGTATACTACACTATTCGCTCTATTTAGGCCTATTCCAATACCAAATAATGGCATATCTAAGGGTTCTATAAATCTCTTACTTATCTGTAAACTGGTTAGTTTAATCCCAATCAGTTTGTATCGTTTATAAGAATCCTTTGCTTACATGACTCTCTGCTATTAGCTAACTCTACAATAACAACAGATAACAACGACATACCCAGTATAATCCCACAAATAGGGTCTGAGGAGGGTTTCCGTACGCAGACCTTACCCCTACCTTGTAGAGGTAGAGAGGTTGTTTCCGAAGACCCTCGGCTCAAGGTATTAGCTAACGCTGTTCTTTCCATAACAAAGACTTAATATCACACCACATATCTAGCAGATGGTCTGCAAATTTATTCAACATAACCACATATTTCTTACCCAAAAAAAAAAAAAATACATTGCACCCAAACGAATAGGAATAAGCCCCATCAACATGTAAATCACATTGACAATTGAAAAGGAAATGAGAACAATATCCTAGAGCTCAATGTTTCCTATATTGGGACCCTTATAATAAATAATTTCAACAATAAGCTGCACTGCATAAACTGTCAAATCATGTGTAAATAAAAAGAGCTCTATTTTTGTATGACTCAAACAAGACATACAATAATTACTCAATAATAACTAAACAGTTTTCTGACATAACTACTTCTACTCCAACATCTTAAAACTATCTTAGAATTTTGGCATTTACCCATTAAAGATTAAAAAAAGACACCTGATACTAAATGCAAAAAGCAACACATCTCTTTTTCAGGATATTCCTCAATAACCCCAGATTTTAATTTCAAGGTAAAACAAAAAAAAAAATGGGCAAAAAGATAGAAACAAATTTCAATCTTGAGCAGTTCTAGCACAAAAAAAAAAAGAAGGCTTTTTCTTCATAAAATCTTATAAAAGATAGAGCTTTCAAGTAAAAGATGGTAACAATAAACAAATGGGGATTAAAAAGTTTCAATCTTTTTTGACATAGGCACATACCCAATTTTATTTTCAAGGTAAAACAAAGAAAAAAAAATGTAAAAAGCTGAAAAGAAGTTCTAGCACAAAAGAAAAGGCACTTTCTTAATAAATTCTTATAAAAGAGATATGTTTCAAGTAAATTATGAAATAAGCTAATAAATAAACAAATGGGATAAAAAAGATTCAATTCTTGAGATAGGAACATACCCAATTATTTATATGATCAAATGCTACATTCCCCTTTATGAATATATCAAGTGTGTGATCAAATCAGAACCTACGGTGGTAACAGATCAATGAATAAAAACAGGTAAAAAGTGGAGTGATTTGAAAATGTGTGGGGAAAAACATAGGAATCAAGTGATTATGGTTTGGGGTTTTGTAAGGACAATTTCAAGATTCAAGGAAGTGGACAAGAGAGAGAAGAGAAGAGAAGGCAGATGTAGCAATAGAAAGCTATTAATTGTAATATATGTTTGACATAGTGTTTGTATTACTCTATCCCGTTAATAATAAGTGACCAATTTACAAAAAAATTAATTTATTTTTTAAAAATTACTCTTATGTACGCATTTCTAAAAAGTCTTTTACTCCTCATATTAAATTATATTGTAACATTTAATTAAGGGTAATATAGTCGCACTAACTATTTTTGTTTAGAATTTAGTATTTCCTTAATGGGTATGCCCAAGACAAATTGATCACTTATTGTGGACCGGAAAGAGTAATATTTTAGTAGTAGAGAAAAATCTTGGGCCAAATATATATACAGCTCATTCAACTTGGCCCCGTTTTTCATTTTGGCACTCTATCTCAACTTTGTTCCACTTTGGCCCTCCAAGTCTATTTCTTGTGTTATGTTTCACTTTATCACAGTTGGTGCCTGAGCTGGTGTTGCTGGAGCATCCGCAACTAGGACCTGATCCTGAACTGGGGCAGCAGGTGGATCTGCAGGTGTTGCCCTAGTTGTTGTGCGAGCTACACCCATGCCCCTACCACGGCCTCGACCGCGGCCTCGGCCTCTACTGGCCCCAGCTGGTGGTACTGGTGGTCGTTCATCCTGACCGGTAGTACGTGTCCTCACCATCTGTGAAAGAATGGAATAACAGAAGTTTAGTACTCGGATCAACAGATTCGCACGACAAGAATTTCAAGAATATGACGTTTTTCCTAAAGGTTCTGCAGTCTCCCGAGGATAAGAACAGATGTCTCCGTACCGATCCGCGAGACTCTACTAAATCGGCTCATGACTCGAGAGACCTATGTAACCTAGGTTCTGATATCAACTTGTCACGACCCCAAATACCCGGTCGTGATGGCGCCTATCACAATACTAGGCAAGCCAACCCAACAAGTAACCACTGTCAATTTCTTTTAATAAAAATATTTTTCTAACATTTAATTAAGTCTCAACCTTTATAAGGAATTCATTAATCATTGAAATGTGCGGAAAAACATTACAAAAAATAGACCAACACAGTCCAAACATCTGGTGTCACGAGTCTAGAGCCTCTAAATATATAAATCTGACTGTCTAATACATAACCAGTCTAAAATGCAGAAAGAAACAAGATAGGAAGGGGAAAAGCAGGGTTGCGAACGCTATACAACTACCTTGCAATCTCCGACAAACTCCAACAATGTTGGGGACCCTCACCCTGCCGCTCGGTCACCTGGATTTGCATACAAGGTGCAGGGAGTAACATGAGTACGCCAATTCAGTAAGTAACTAAAGTAAATAAGGTCTGAGTGCAGCGACGAGCAGTTAAAAATGATATATAAGAGTACACAACAGAGTATCAAATCAAACTAATAATTTAAAAGCCAGTTTCTTCATAAAGTTTCAGTTTCAATTGAAATACTTTTAAATCACTTACTTAGCGGTTTTCAACAGAGGCTCGTTATAAAAGAAGAGTGAAATCAGCAAAAATATCATCAATGGGCTCCTCGGGCAAGGTATCACTCATAAATTTAGCCTCTCGGTCAAACCTGACTCATCTCTCGTCACTCAGTACTCACACTCAGCACTCAGGCTCAATAATATCTCATAATAGTAATAAT